AGTTATGATATGACCAAAGCTGTCAATCATGCCAAGGAAACACTGTTGCACTGCAGGGAAGCATCACACTACAGTTCAGGGCGAACTCCAGCACGCTGCTTTTTATTGTATAACCCAAAAGTAAAGGATTCTTTTTCCATTTTTAATTGAATTTTTTTAAAAAATCAGGTTGTATGAAAATTTAAATATTAGGCTTGTAGCGTTTTTTTTTAAAAACAGTCATACTCATTTATCTATATATTTACATTTGTGGTTTTGCACCATAAAAGTAGAACTGAGCAGTTGCAAAATAAACCATATGGCCTATAAAGCTGAAACTATATAGACTATTTTATCCTTTAAGGAAAAGTATCCTGCTTTAAGGGAGGAGAACAGAGGCTAACTGCCTCAGTTTAAACTCCAGTGCTGTCACCTAACACGGCCTCTGTTCATTTATTTGCAAAACCAAGTCAATTACAGTGCCTACTCTTGTAGAAACATGGTGAGTCGTAAACGAAAAACAAAAAGGAGGCATTCAAAAGAGTACTTGAGGGAGCTCTGGTGGCCCAGTGGCAAGAAGCTGCACTGCAATCCCGAAGGTGTGTGGTTTGATCCACCAGATGCTCCACTGAAGAAGGAAGGGCAATCTCTTCCTGTGCCAGTGGGATCCGATTCGACAGTATTCAACAAGAAAAAGAAAAATGAGTACCTGGCATACAAAAAGCCCTTATCAAATATCAGCTGTCCGGATTATTGTATAACACATGTTGCTATGACATGGAAACCTATGTCACTGGTATTTCAAACATCAGCAGGGTCATCCATGTGGGTAGGTTGTAGCAAAGCTTCCAAATACAGACAGACTAGAAAAAGAGGCATGGTGACAGATTTCTAAACATTAGCCAATTAGAACCTCAAGGATTACAACAAAATACTGCATCAGAGATGTATTCTATCTCCATCCCTGTTCAATCTCTAAACTGAGCAAATTATCTGAGAAGCTGGACTCTATGAAGAGGAATATGACATTAGGATTGGAGGGAGAGTCATCCATAACCTGTGTTATGCAGATGACACAACCTTCCTTGCTGAAAGTGAGGAGGACTTGACATACTTGGTGCAGAAGATCAAGGAATGCAGCCTTCAGTATGGACTATGTCTCAACTTCAAGAAAACAAAGATTCTTACCACTGAACCAATTGGCAGTGCCATGATGGATAGAGAGGAGACTAAAACTATCAACAGCTTCATCTTGCTTGGATCTACAATTAACACCTTTGATTCCAGCAGTCAGGAAATAAGGAGATGCACTGCATAGGGAAAATCTGCAGTCAGGGATCTTTCTAAATTTCTGAGGAGCAGTGATGTCATTTTGAGAACTAAGGTGCATCTTATTCAGGCCATAATCTTTCTGATTACTAGCTATGCATCTGAGACCTGGAAAATGAATAAAGATGACGAAAGAATTGACACCTTTGAGCTGTGGTGTTGGAGAAGAGCACTGACCATCCCAAGAATGACCAAGAGAACGAATAGATATGTCTTAGAGAGGGTGCAGCCAGAGTGCTCTTTGGAGGGAAGAAGGATGCGGCTTCGGCTTACGTACTTTGGACATGTTGCTAGGAAGTGCTATTCCTTGAAAAGAGACATGATGCTGGGAAGGACGGAGGGTCAGAGAAGAAGAAGACCCTCAACCAGGTGGATTGATAGGGTGACTGCTGCAATGAGCTCTTGTGTGACAGGAAGCGTGAGGACGGTACAGGATGGAACTAGGTTCAGATCTTTTGTTCATGGGATTCTATGAGTCTTACTCGACTTGAAGGCAATACAGTGCTGTAAGATTAGCCCTCCAACTTGGAAGACACTCAAAACATGTATAATCAGGAAGATGGTCTAGCTCTGGATAACGTTGCATTCTGTTGTACGTACTGTTGTTGTTAGGTGTCACTGAGTTGAATACAACTCATAGAAACGCTATGAACAGCCAGCTTGAACCCAGCCCTATCCTGTGTCATCCTCACCATCTCTGACACATTAGAGCCCACTGCTTAAATCACTGTGTCAGTCAATCACATCACATGAGGTCACCACATATCAGAGCAGATCTGACAACATCTAGAACTGGGTGATGCACCAGGACTTTGTAAGATGGGGGCTCTTGTTCTGGGTTGTCGGAAGTGTGGAATGTTGGGTTGTCTGCTATGATGTAAGCCTCATGTTTATTGCCAACAAGACCTTCTGGAAGACCTTTGTATTTAAAAGTCGGCTGTTATTACATTTTGGAGGAAAATCTTCTAAGTCATACAGCACTCTTCTCACAACTTGCTGTACTGAGGTCATCTGGGTTTCCTGTGATGCTGGGTTTCCTTGTGGCCTTGGGGTGTTATATACTGTAACAGTTCCCCATGGTGGACAGGGTTTGGTGGAGCTCCCAGTTTTAAGACAGGTTTGGAAGCAGGAGCACCATCCACTGGATATTCTATGAACTTAGAGAAATGACGATAACAGCAAGGCTTCAGGTCTTTTGTTCATACGGTCACTATGAGTCGTGTTTGACTCAATGGCAATCAACAACAACAGCAAGCATTATCTAGAACTGCTACTACTTCTAGCTGGGGACTATCTGATGTGTTTTTCAATGTAAATGTGGACAAAGTGGTTAAATTTCAAATCACTGACCCAAATCTATTAATCCCGGTACCACTGAAGTATTACAAGACAAGAAGAAATGAGGAAAATATGAAGACAAACAGAAGGAATAGAAATAGTGAGCAGCTTAGGAGAGGAAAGGGCTGGGGCGTCATCGTGCATTATATGTTCCACTGCCAACTGTAAGGTCAAGAGTTCAAATGCATTAATGGCTCCACAGGTGAGAGACGAGAAGTCTCCTCCCATAAAGATGTACGGCCTCAGAAACCCACTGCAGTGTCGTTGGGAGACAGAACTGAACCTATGGCAGTGGGGTTTGAGTTTTGGTAAGAAAGGGGGACGAAAAGTCAAAGGAGCCCACTCAGCAGAACCGTAGGTGGTCTATTCAAAGAAGAAATACAAATTAGTGTCATTTCATCCATAGAAACTGATGCAATAACTTCTGTGGGAAGACTGGATACTAATCACCATGTGGAAGCTGTCTCTCTGGGGGGGAAATTCTGAATTCCACAGCAGTGACTTACAAATGAACTGCGGGTCAAGGCAATTTTTAAGTTGGGAACCTCCTGTATTTTACATTCCTCCGCAAATGACAAGTTATGGCTGCAAGCATTCCATGTCGTCCTATCACTGGGAGAAGCTAATTACGTGGAGACACTATGTGAGGACCCTGTGCAGCTCAGGGGCTGCTTCTAAGGGGACCCCACAGGAGGACGAGGATAATCTCTTATCAACAAGATTGCATTTGGCTCAGAACAGCACTTGCTTCCTAATGCTAAGAAAGGGTAAGGGGAACACACGGTTTGTGAATAGAAGACAAGTTCATTCACCCAAGATTGGCATGCGTGATAACTGGGAGGTAAACATCTGTTCATAAAAGACACACTTAATCTACAAGTGAGATTAAGAAATAATCCCTACCCACAGACTTACTTTTCTTTGGACATCTTCTCTAAGCAAAGAAGAGTTCTTGCCTTTGCCACAAAACTTTTAAAAATCACACTCCCCCAGTTTCTCTCATTTTTTAAATTTTTTTTCATTTTTTACAGCATATTCTTCCCATTTAATTTTTTTCTCATTTATTCATTGTTGCACATTTTCTTCCCTGGCCACTCTTCCCCCAGTTCGCTTTTCTCTTTGAAAAGAAAAAAAATAATCTTTCATTGTTATACAATCCCCGAACCCCCTAAATCCACAGTTCACTTAACTCTGCATTTCTTTTTTGGGAATCTTGTCATAAAAATAATACTTAATCATATATTCCTTTTAAACAGTCCTCTCCCTCATCTGTTTCAATGCAGTATACATTATTTATCCCCTATTTTCTTAGGTTCACCCAACCCAATGTCAGTGGCACTATGTAGTATTTATCCTTTTGTGACTGAGTTATTTCACTCAGCATAATGTCCTCCAGGGTCACCCATTTTGAATAATATTTCATGAATTCCTTGTTTTTCAATGCAGCATAGTATTCCATTGTGTGAATATACCACAGCTTCTCTATCCATTAGCTTGTTGATGGGCACTTAGGTTGTTTCCAACTCCTTGCTATTGTGAACAAAGCCACGATAAACGTGGGTGTGCATATATCTGCTTGGGTGGTGGTTATGGTTTCTCTGGGGTATACTCCCAGTAGTAGAATTGCTGGGTCAAATGATATTTCCAATTTCAACTTTTTGAGAAAGCACCATACCTCCTTCCACAGTGGTTGAACCATTTCACACTTCCACCAACAGTGAATAAGGGTTCCAGTTTCTCTGTAACCTCACCAGGATTTGTTGTTTGCTGTTCTCTGAAATTTTGCTATTCTTACTGGGGTGAGATGATACCTCATAGTTGTTTTGATTTGCATCTCTCTTAGAGTTAGGGATTTTAAACACTTCTTCATGTGTTTGTTCACCATCTGAATATCTTGTTTGGTGAAGTGTCTGTTCATATGCTGTGCTCATTTTGCAACTGGGTTGTTTACCTTTATCTTGCTGCACACTCCCCCAATTTCTCTTATGTTACTATTTCAAAAAGTCTAGAGAATCCCACACACAGTGTCTTTTATTATCTTTCAATTCCACTTTTATCAAGCAATTATCTTTATTTCTCCACATTCCCTCCCAAGCTTCAATTCTAGGATTCTCACTATTTTGTATGGTTTATTATGTTTATGGTACATTTTTCTGCAGAAGTTAAACACGCACAGAAAATATCTAAGACACATGATATGTCAAAATAACACACAAATCCTCAAAGGGAGAAAAAGGCATCATTATCCAAGTGATTGCTGAAAACTTGGCAGGAAAAGGAGAGTGATTTAAAGTAAAGCATCCAAGAGAGTCATTAAGATGCTCTAGAGCTGGAGGTAAAATGTAAAAACTTACTGAGAATGTAACTGCTGGGAGAGTCCCATCGAAGGCTTCGGCTTGAGGGTCAAGGTCATCTGAGCTACAGGGCTGCCTCTCGGTAGAGCATCTGCCTTCTTAGATGAAGTGTACTTCAATGGTGGCTCAGGAGGGACCCTCTTGGAAGCAGGGGCAGAACCCTGCCCTCCAGATACCATGGTGGATGAGGTGTCTTGAGTGGCTATTGTCTCGCAGGCTTTGCCCTTCGTTCCTGGCTTGCACACACAGAGCTGAGGGCGCAGACACATCCCTCCATTCTGGCATGGTGGAACACAGCTCGCTGCAGAAAGACAACAGGAAACAAGTACACTTCACTTAGCCTTCCAAAGGGATAAGAGTGACATCAGAATGTTCCCCAGTAAGATAAAACGAAACTGAGAGACTGAAAACGATGATGATGATGATGATGATGGTGGTGGTGGTGGTTAAGTGCTAGTATTCATTAAAAGTGTCCTACGAGATAGGCTCAGCATTTGTCCGTTTGTCATGCTGTGCTGGCTTGCATGTTGTGATGCTGGAAGCTACACCTCTCACAAATACTAACAAGTTCATCAGTGGTGGACAAGTTTAACAGGATCTTCCAGATTAAGACTAGGAGTAAAGGCCTGGCAATCTACTTCCAAAAATTAACCTACTGGATCACAACAGGACACTGTGGAACTTACCTGCTTTGGACACATCATCAGAAAGCACCAATTACTGGAGGGTGGACATCATGTTTGGTGCAACAGAGAGTCAAGAGAGCTCCAGAAAGGCCTTCCGTGAGACATAGTAGCATGGCAGCCACAACAATTACCTTGAATATACCTACAACTGTGAGGACACTGCAGGAGTGAACAAGACCTCATTCAGCTGTGCAAGAGGCACATGTGAGCCGGCATTAGCTCAATGGATGACCTCTAGCTCTCCTTGTGCCCAAACATGGGACTACGGTGTATGAACACATTTAATTCCCCAATAACTATTTTAATTATCTATTTTGTTTTTACCAGGAGCTCAAATAACCTAGTGGATAAGGAGGTGCACTGCCAACCCAAAGGCAGATGGTTCAAATCCACCAGTGCTCTTTGGAAGAGACAGGTAATCTCCCACGGGATTTACAGTCTCTTGACAACCCACTAGAGGGTCATTTCTGAATCTACGGCCATCAGTAGGGGGACTGGTTGGATATTTCATCCAAATCATAGATGAAGAGACAGACATTGAGGTTAAGTAACTTGGCAAAGGTCCACAATTATTGATAAGTAGAAGAGGTGAGATCTTAACATGTGATCTGGCTCCAAAGCCTAAATTGTCAACCACTTTATCATAACCACCTTCCAGAAATGCCTCAGAAACAAAGGGGAAAATCTGAAGAAAATGTTTTGCCATTATTGTAAGTGTATTCTATAACTTAAGCTCCAAGACTTGGGGGTGAGGGAAGCCCACGTGTAACCCCCAACACCAAGAACTACTACAGACTTCATTCAGGTTTGAATAGCACCTGAAGTTGATGGTTTTTAAAATTTAGTCCAACTAATCTCTTTACCAGTGTAGAAAGATGACTGACTATAAACCCGTTGTTATTGTTGTTCTTAAGTGCCATCTAATCGTAGACAACTCATAGCAACCCTGTGAACAAAAGACTTGAACACTTAGAAACTTTCATCGCTTCTCCAAGTTCACAGTTTCTGGAGGCAAGCTACTTAGTTTATATAAAACAAATTTTTTAGTT